CTTTTCGATGCCTGCCGAGAACCTATGTGAATGTTTTGGAATGGGGATGTTCGCCTTTTGTAACAAGTAGACCGACGATACGGACTAATAGATGTTCCTACTCTTACCCGTAAGTAAGATCTATTCATAGTTGGTCAGTCCCCCCCCTATTAGTAAAGCTTTACGGCTTCTCGCTTTTCATGAATGTGTCTCCCCCTCCGCTTATGTGAGTTTGACCCGCCTTTGACTCTGCTTGCTTCTGACTCCCTATGAGCCGTTTTACGACCTGACTTTTTCGGAGGGTCGGCGGGACATGGGGGCCTCAGCTCATGCATCGGTTTACCGAAATCACCTCTGCTATCCCACTTCCTTCTATTCAAAAGGCGAGCAGCCCTTAAACAAAAAGGCCCTAAGAGGGCTCTTCTTTATATATTACATAAGCCCTAAAGAAAGAAAGAAAGAAAAAAGAAAGAAAAAAGAAAGAAAGAAAAAAGAAAAAAGAAAGAAAGAAAAAAGAAAGAAAAAAGAAAGAAAGTAAGCAAGAGCAAGTAATCCCGTCATCTCGTGCAAATGAGGGGCAATAGATAGAGGCAGAGAAGGCGGCTGTTCTCAAGACAAATGCCAAAGCAAATGTACAGAATAAGCTCTGCAGATGAATTCCCGGTGCATGTGTTCTTGTTCTCGAAAGCACTCCCAGTCTCTCCCGGCGAGCTCGACGGGCATGGTAGCCAAGATAGAAAGGCAGGTAATGGCAATTCATTAAAGGAGGTGTGCGTGTCTGTCTTTCCTGAGCTAGTGGCATATCGATAATATGAATATGCCTCGCCTCGAAGATTAAGGAAGAAGAATCCAATCCCTAAAGCAATTCCGGTAATAAGAGCTATCGGCATTACCGCTGTGGGAGGGGCGGAAGAACTCCTTTTCCGAATAGCATTCTATTAGGAGTCCCGCCCGCCGCCGAAGCAAGAGGAAATCCGCTTTGAAGGCAGTTCTTTTAACGGGAACAACTACTTCTAATACAATACCAGCAGGTGCCACATTTGCTTATGAAACAATCGCTTATTTCCCAGTAACCATGAGTTCATAGTTGTCAACGGGAAATATCGTTTATTCAACAATTATTCCTATAGTAATAGAATAGTTCTATTTCTTTTTTGCACTCACTTCGAGAAAGAGAGCTGAAAAAGCAATCACCGCTTCTGAAAGAGGACTTGGGAGCAGGGCCTCTACGCCTTTTGCCTGCATTAGGACTTTTCCTGGTTCTATCTATTAATACGGAATTTCCTGGTATGAGCTCAATCAGCCTTAGACAAGCTTTGTCTCGTCCCTTCCCCAGGAGATATCTGTGACTTGCTTCCCCTCGCCCTAATGAGTGAGTTTCCCCCCCTCGGGGCAAAGGGTAAGAACTCGCTTTCGCTAGGCACCAAGGCTTCTTTGACTTCTAAATCAAGAGAAGGTTTCAGAACTCGGGCTAATTCCATTCCAGTCTTCTTAGCAGGGAGAGAAATGGATTGCTTTGGATGGTTCCTGCTTAAAGTAAGGACTATGCTCTAAGCCCTTCCTTCCTTCAACGGTAACTGCAGCTAAGACTGCTTCTTCCTTGTTCACATTCGACCATGAGTTCAGAGTTGACAAGAGGGAGGGCGTACTTTTATTATGATTGATAGGCGGACTTCACTCCCTTTGAGCTAACAGCCAAGAAGAGTTCACATTCAACTTCCTTACCTTAAAACAAAACCATGAGCAGAGTGCCGCCGGAGTTTCTTCTTATTTCATCATTCCCATAGATTGCTAGTAGTTTAGTTCCATTCGTTCGCTTTAGAAAGGGTGGTTACCCCTGGTCTTTCTCACCTTGGGCTTGAGCCAGTAAAAATGGCTTAATCAAGAGAGAGAGAACCCCTTTGATTTTCTTTGATTTTCTTTGATTTTCTAAGGCTAAGGCTAAGGCTAAGGCTAAGGCTAAGGCTAAGAAAAAGAAATTGCTCCACCATTTATTTGATTAGTATAGTGGTATACTGTTAACTGACTGGTCGTAGGTTCGAATCCTACTTGGGGAGATCCATGGTTTGACCGGGCCTGTCCTTCTCCCTAGAATCATTCTCAGGATTGTTCAGCTGAACAATCCTGAGAATGATTCTAGGGAGAAGGACAGGCCCGGTCAAACCATGGATCTCCCCAAGTAGGATTCGAACCTACGACCAGTCAGTTAACAGTATACCACTATACTAATCAAATAAATGGTGGAGCAATTTCCTTTTTCTTAGCCTTAGCCTTAGCCTTAGCCTTAGCCTTAGCCTTAGAAAATCAAAGAAATCAAAGAAAATCAAAGGGTTCTCTCTCTCTTGATTAAGCCATTTTTACTGGCTCAAGCCCAAGGTGAGAAAGACCAGGGTAACCACCCTTTCTAAAGCGAACGAATGGAACTAAACTACTAGCAATCTATGGGAATGATGAAATAAGAAGAAACTCCGGCGGCACTCTGCTCATGGTTTTGTTTTAAGGTAAGGAAGTTGAATGTGAACTCTTCTTGGCTGTTAGCTCAAAGGGAGTGAAGTCCGCCTATCAATCATAATAAAAGTACGCCCTCCCTCTTGTCAACTCTGAACTCATGGTCGAATGTGAACAAGGAAGAAGCAGTCTTAGCTGCAGTTACCGTTGAAGGAAGGAAGGGCTTAGAGCATAGTCCTTACTTTAAGCAGGAACCATCCAAAGCAATCCATTTCTCTCCCTGCTAAGAAGACTGGAATGGAATTAGCCCGAGTTCTGAAACCTTCTCTTGATTTAGAAGTCAAAGAAGCCTTGGTGCCTAGCGAAAGCGAGTTCTTACCCTTTGCCCCGAGGGGGGGAAACTCACTCATTAGGGCGAGGGGAAGCAAGTCACAGATATCTCCTGGGGAAGGGACGAGACAAAGCTTGTCTAAGGCTGATTGAGCTCATACCAGGAAATTCCGTATTAATAGATAGAACCAGGAAAAGTCCTAATGCAGGCAAAAGGCGTAGAGGCCCTGCTCCCAAGTCCTCTTTCAGAAGCGGTGATTGCTTTTTCAGCTCTCTTTCTCGAAGTGAGTGCAAAAAAGAAATAGAACTATTCTATTACTATAGGAATAATTGTTGAATAAACGATATTTCCCGTTGACAACTATGAACTCATGGTTACTGGGAAATAAGCGATTGTTTCATAAGCAAATGTGGCACCTGCTGGTATTGTATTAGAAGTAGTTGTTCCCGTTAAAAGAACTGCCTTCAAAGCGGATTTCCTCTTGCTTCGGCGGCGGGCGGGACTCCTAATAGAATGCTATTCGGAAAAGGAGTTCTTCCGCCCCTCCCACAGCGGTAATGCCGATAGCTCTTATTACCGGAATTGCTTTAGGGATTGGATTCTTCTTCCTTAATCTTCGAGGCGAGGCATATTCATATTATCGATATGCCACTAGCTCAGGAAAGACAGACACGCACACCTCCTTTAATGAATTGCCATTACCTGCCTTTCTATCTTGGCTACCATGCCCGTCGAGCTCGCCCGGGAGAGACTGGGAGTGCTTTCGAGAACAAGAACACATGCACCGGGAATTCATCTGCAGAGCTTATTCTGTACATTTGCTTTGGCATTTGTCTTGAGAACAGCCGCCTTCTCTGCCTCTATCTATTGCCCCTCATTTGCACGAGATGACGGGATTACTTGCTCTTGCTTACTTTCTTTCTTTTTTCTTTCTTTTTTCTTTCTTTCTTTTTTCTTTTTTCTTTCTTTCTTTTTTCTTTCTTTTTTCTTTCTTTCTTTCTTTAGGGCTTATGTAATATATAAAGAAGAGCCCTCTTAGGGCCTTTTTGTTTAAGGGCTGCTCGCCTTTTGAATAGAAGGAAGTGGGATAGCAGAGGTGATTTCGGTAAACCGATGCATGAGCTGAGGCCCCCATGTCCCGCCGACCCTCCGAAAAAGTCAGGTCGTAAAACGGCTCATAGGGAGTCAGAAGCAAGCAGAGTCAAAGGCGGGTCAAACTCACATAAGCGGAGGGGGAGACACATTCATGAAAAGCGAGAAGCCGTAAAGCTTTACTAATAGGGGGGGACTGACCAACTATGAATAGATCTTACTTACGGGTAAGAGTAGGAACATCTATTAGTCCGTATCGTCGGTCTACTTGTTACAAAAGGCGAACATCCCCATTCCAAAACATTCACATAGGTTCTCGGCAGG